TTTTTTTTTTTTTTTTTTTTTTTTCTTTCCTCTCCCAAAATGGTCGGACAAGGACTGGTAGGTAATTTCAGTGGAAGAAGAAGAAGAACACTAATTTTTTTACCACTTGGATTGAATGGTAAAAAAGGTTGGTAAATAAATTGACGTGGCGAATTTCAACCCTACAAATTTTGAAATATAAAATTATCATTAATAAACTTTCTATATTAATTGATACTTTTACTGAAATTTAAAATTTATTTTTTTGAGAAATTATTATTTTACTTGGAATTGTCCCCTTGGCGTGTCTATTGCCACAATGCTAGAATTTTAGCTTTTTTCGGTATCTCACTGATGGCTCGGACCTCTCGTAAGAGGCATTTCTTAATAGTTGAATCGTTTCTCAAACCATCTAGAAGAAATCGTCGTTGACCACTTCAACTGAATTGTTGTCTTGGACTCTTTGTAATAAAAAGGGCACCAAAGGTCGGAAAGAATTCTATTTTGTTCCGATAGGAACAATATCATTAAAAAATTTAACATTCTGCAACGCTGATGGATTTTGGAGTTCATCTTCTAATTTACAGAACAATGATACCAACAACAGTTATTTATATTTATATTTCACGATCATTTATTTTTAACAATATGACACGAATATTGTTAAAAATAACGTGTTAAATACATAAATATCTTCGAAGATTTTAATATGATAAATTTATTTGACCCATTAAGGTGAAATTGGTTCGTACCAAAGATTGGATAAATGGGTAAAATAAAAGAATAAAAATCTTAATAATTTAAATACGATTTATGGTAAAAATAAATTAGAAAATTGTCATTCAATAAAGAAAAAAATAATGGAAAAATAATTCATATATATACTATTTTTTTATTTTATTATTATTATTTTTTTTTTGGGAGAAAGTGGAAGCTATATGAATTATAAACCCTAAAACCTTCAAATCCACTGTATCACCACCTGTTTCCCCCTGCTCTGATCGGTGACGATGAGGCCCTTGGACGAGAAAGAGACCACCGCCGTGTTCGAGAAGCTTCACAAATTCACCGGTAACAACCTCAAGAACATTGTCGAGAACCCCTCTCACGAAGGGCCGGAGCTAAATCCCGGCCGCTACTGCTTCCGCCTTCATAAGAACAAGGTATATTACGTCAGTGACTCCCTTGTTAAGCGAGCTACCAACGTAGCCCGCAGCAACCTTGTCGCTCTCGGCACCTGCATCGGAAAGTTCACTCATGGCGGCAGTTTTCATCTCACTGTTCACTCGCTAGGGCTATTGGCTTCCAATGCTAAGCACAAGGTTTGGCTTAAACCAACTTCTGAGATGTCTTTTTTGTATGGGAACCATGTTTTGAAAGGCGGATTAGGGCGGATTACTGAAAATATTGCTCCCGGTGATGGGGTCGTTGTGTATTCTATGTCGGATGTGCCATTGGGATTTGGAATTGCGACGAAGTCCACGCAGGACTGTAGGAAGTTGGACCCGAATGGGATTGTGGTTCTTCATCAGTCGGATATTGGAGAGTATTTAAGGATGGAAGATGAGCTTTAAAGAATCAAGATGAAGATGAGTTGAGTTTATTGGGCATCGGCTTCCTGGTCCAGGTATACTCGAGTTTGTTCTTGTAAAGTTTGTTGGTCAATAGGATTTTGAGACCAAATTGATATACTGCCTAATGAATCAAGTCAATTTTGTAAGTTTTGCACACCATGGTGTTGAATATGTGAATGATGAAACTGTTGCCCAAATGTGGGTTATCTAATATCATAGTGATCAGATACTGCTTATTTCTTTACTGCAAACCAATCATTTTTTCTTTTTATGACTGTATTGAAGATTTTCTTTAATGAGCAGTTGCTTCTCATTTTTGTATCGGATATTTCTGTTTGCATGTGAGGCCAATACATACATTTGTTTGATCATCAAACAGCTGTGAATTGAGCAACAATGTTCTTCACTAGAAATGGATTTTCTTTGTTGGGTTATATGCAATATACTAAATGCTTGGAGCCATTTTTTTGCCTATGGTTTAGGTTTTTGTTTGGGCTCCTTTCATGGTGTGCTTTTCTTTTCATAACATCATTTGTGTTCTCTCATTTTTTTCTCAATGTGAAGTTTGGTTCTTCATAAGAAGAAAGTTACTAGACTTGTTTCTGCTCTGTTTTCTACGTGTTAAAGACGAACTCCTTACACTGTAGAAGTCTGGCTGAGATGAGTGCAGATTATATAGATTTGTAAGTTATTACTGCATAATGCTACTTACCTGTTTATTGCAATCTATGCTTGAATATGCATTAGCATAGATAGATAGACCAATGGGTTTGTAATTTATACACAATTTTTGTAATCAAAACTTGAATAAAGGGTTGTGCTTTTGGTTGGTGGCTAGTTATGAGCAATCTTCTTGTTAGATGAGGTTACTTGTTCTGGGGTTGGTTCCTCTTATGACGTTAGATGTTACACCCACTTAATTTTACGTAATATTCATACATTCTTATATTGTGTTAGTACAAAGGTTTTTGGCTTAAATTTGAAAATGTATAAATTTTACGACAAAAACGACTTATTGGTTTCGAATTAGAATCTATTCAGTGTCTAAGTCTTAAGTTTCAAGAACACTTTTGGTCCTAGAGGTTTGAAGATCAGTTTAAATGGTCATGGGCTCCTTTGACAACACTAAAATGATTTTGAGTTCAATAATATTTTCGGGTGATTAGACGTTTTCTCTACTCCTCTTCTTCCTAACATTGTGCTGCTATCTTTCAATGAATGATGGAGCTCATTGTTTCAATAAGATCCGAAATGAAGGAGCCTCCAACGTTCATTTCTCTAGAACTAGAACTAAATACTTTCTTGCTCTAGATCTGTCTGGAATTAAGGATGATCTATCTAGAACTAGAGCAAAGGTGTTCTTTCTCCTTCATTTTGCAGATCTGAGCTGACTTCGTTTCCATTCTAGATCAGCGTTCCGGTAGCAGATGGCTAGAATGTGGCCGGAGATGACAGTGACTATATTTGAGTGGAGACGAGCTGCGTGACAACCGTGTCGAGCAAGATCGCTGGCAAGGAGGAGCAGCAAAGGGAGAGGAAGGTCACCTCATCAAAAAACTGGTACTAAGTTATTTAAATTTGCCATTAGCAAGTTGTTCTTACTAATAGGAGGTTAGGGACAATTCTTCCATTACCAAATTTAAACTTTCAGACCAAAAATGTATTTTTGGCTTAACTGTTAGCAACGTGGTGGAGGCCTAATTTGATGCAATTAAAATATATCAGAAACTTCTTTATTGAGAGATGGATAATAAGGGGTTCAGGTTTAGAGGAAGGAGTTGGTTGTTCTTACAGATAGATTGCCATCCTGCTCTCCATTTGGGGAAAGGAGATGAAACACTGATATTGAGAATCTGTTTTTGTGGATCATTTTTGTTCAAAATTGGCTATTGGGCTCATGTGCTTGTTCATGTCCAAAGCTGTTTTGATCTGTTTTATGGGCTAGAATTCTCATAACCAATGCCACCCAACTTTCCTGAAATGCCATTTTGACCACAACTACTCGATCACAAGCCTTGCTCGTGTCTAACTTCATGACAACATTGCCCACCTTGCCTTTTAATGCCCATTGAAAGTCTACAATTCATCTCTCTTTTCTATCCCTATGTGAGATCTCGGAGAAAAAGGGTGTGAAAACCTCTCCCTAGGATACGTGTTTTAGAATTTTGAGGGAAACCCATGGGAGAAACCCAAAAAGGATAATACTTGAGCTGTTACAAATGGTATTAGAGCTAGACATTGAGCGGTGTGCCAGTAAGGATGCTGAGCCCCAAAGGGGGTGGACATCGGTGTGCCAGCAAGGACGCTGGGCCCCAAAGGGGGTGTGGGTTGTGATATCTCACATCGATTGAAGAGGGGAATGATTGTCAGCGAGAATGTTGGGCCTCGAAGAGGTGTGGATTGTGAGATCCCACATCGTTTGAAGAGGCTAACAAACGACAAGTGTATTTACTAGTGGTGGGCTTGAATTGTCACATTATAAACCAAGAAAGGTGATGATACACTTAAAAAAAAAAACTAGAAAACAATGAACAAAGTGGTTGCCAAACATATTCGAAACGAACCATTCTAGAAACAGTGAAGAAGAATGAAGTACATACTTATAATGTATATATATAACAGCAGAATAGGTACCCAGAAATGGTAGCTATAATAATGGTTTCAAGTACTTTATTCTCAAAGCCTTTGCAGGAGTTGGATCCATCTGTTTGTAACTAAAAGAATTTAGGCAAACCACCAAACTCAGGCATTTATATGGATTCCTTTCATATGAACATTTCCACAATATTCCCTTTTAATTAGGCAACCACTTCACAAAACCCATATCTTAAAAACCATTTCTTTGCCTATTGTTTGAGAAACAAAGATGCCAAACCCTAAAACTAAGAGAATAATGTGTTGTCTTACAAACCCACTTATTGTCATTAATTAGTATACAAAACAATTTAGAATCTCACCCGAGTTCGAGTTCGAGTTCTTCATTGTGT